AGGAAAGAATATCCAACGGCAAGAAGACAGTCTCTTCAACAAATGGTGGTGGGAAAATTGGATAGCCACATGCAGAAGAATGAAACTGGACCACTTTCTTACACCATACACAAAAGTAGATTCAAAATGGATGAAAGACCTAAATGTGAGACAGGAATTCATCAAAATCCTAGAGGAGAACATAGACAGTAACCCCTTTGACCTCAACCACAGCAAATTCTTTCTAGACACATCTTCAAAGGCAAGGGAAACAAAGGCAAAAATTACTTTTGGGACTTCATCAAGATAAAAGGCTTCTGCACAGGAAAGGAAACAGTCAACAAAGCTAAGAGGCAACCCACGGAACGGTAGAAGATATTTGCACATGTCTTATCAGGTAAAGGGCTGGTATCCAAGATCTATAAAGAAATTCTCAAACTCAACACCCAAAAAACAAATAATTCAGTCAAGAAATGGGCAGAAGACCTGAACAAACCCTTCTCCAAAGAAGACATACAAATGGCTAACAGACACATGAAAAACTCTTCAGCATCACTAGCCATCAGGGAAATACAAATCAAAACCATAATGAGATACCACCTTACACCATTTAGAATGGCCAAAATTAACAAGACAGGAAACAACAAATGTTGGTGAGGATGTGGAGAAGGGGGATCCCTCTTACACTGTTGGTGGGAATACAAGCTGGTACAGCCACTCTGGAAAACAGTATGGAGGTTCCTCAAGATGTTCAAAATAGAGCTACCCTACAACCCAGCAATTGCACTACTAGATATTTACCCCAGAGATACAGATGTAGTGAAAAGAAGGGGCACATGCACACCAATGTTCATGCCAAACTGTAGAAGGAGCCGTGATGTCCTTCAACAAATGAATGGATAAAGAAGATGTGGTTCATATATACAATGGAATATTATTCAGCCATCAAGATGAATACCTACCATTTGCATCGACATGGATGGAACTGGAGGGGATTATGCTAAGTGAAATAAGTCAAGTAGAGAAAGGCAATTATATGCTTTCACTCATGTGGAACATAAGGAATAGCACAGAGGACAACAGGGGAAGGGAGGGAAAACTGAATGGGAAGAAATCAGAGAGGGAGAGGAACCATGAGAGACTCTGGACTCCAGGAACCAAACTGAGGGTTACAGAGGGGAAGGGGGAAGGGGAGGGGGTAACCGAGTGATGGTATTAAGGAGGGCACGTGTTGTGATGAGCACTGGGTGTTATATACAATCAATGAATCGTTGAACACTACATCAAAAACTAATGATGTACTATATGTTGGCTAACTGAACATAATAAATAAACAAATTAATTCTTAATCCATTAAAAAATAAATTAATTTAAATAATTTTTTTTTTTTTAATTGTGGGTCATAACTAAAACAGTACTAAGAAAGAATTATATGGGCTCCTGGGTGGCTTAGTCAGTTAAACGTCTGCTTTCTGCTCGGGTCATGATCCCAGGGTCCTGGGATCAGGCCCGGCATTGGGCTCCCTGCTCAGTGGGGAGCCTGCTTCTCCTTCTCCTTCTAGTGCTCCCCCAGCTTGTGCTTTCTCTTGCTCTCTCTCCCACTCTCTGTCAAAGAAATGAATAAAATCTTTAAAAAAAAGAAGAAAGAAATTTATAGCACTAAATGTTTTTGTTAGAGAAGAAAAATCTCTAATTGTAAGGTAAGTTCTCACTGTAAGAAACTAGAAAAAAAGAGCAATGAAACCGAAAGCAAAAAGAAGGAAGAAATATAGGATAAATCAATGAAATTGAAAACAAATACACAATGTAGAAAAATCAGACAAATAGAAAATGTAATCTTTGAAAGATGAATAAAATTGACAAGCCTGTAGCAAGACTGACAAAGAAAAAGAGAATCATTGACTTCTACCTCTGAAACGAATAATACACTGTATGTTATTTAATTGAATTTAAATAAAATTAAATTTAAAAAAGAAAAAAGAGAGACGATACAAATTACCAATATCAGGAATTTAAAAGGAGATGCTATTACAGACCCTGCCGATATAAAAGCGTAAGAGAATACTATAAACAACTATACACACATAAATTTGACAACTTACTTGAACTGAACAATTCTTTGAAAAGCACAAACTACCACACCTCACCAATATGAGAGTTTGAATAACTCCATAAGTTTCAAAGAAATTGAACTTTTAATTTTTACAATTCCAAAAAGAAATCTCCAGGCCCAGTTGGTTTCCCTGTAATAGTACCCTGAAACCAAAATCAGACAAAGTGCAAAAAGGAAAAGAAAACTGCAGACCAATATTCTTTATGGATACTGATGTGAAAATTCTTCACAAAATGTTAGCAAATAGAACTCAGCAATATATAAAAAGAATTATACACCTTGATCAGGTAAGGTTTTATTCCAAGGATACAAAGACAGTTCAATATTCAAAAATCAATGTAATCTACCATATTAGCAGGCTAAAGAAGAAAATCACATGATCAAAATCAACTGATGTAGAAAAGGCATCTAACAAAATTCAACTCTTATTTATGATTTAAAACTCTTAAAGAACTAGAAATAGAGGTAAACTTATATACTATGTAACTCCATCTGTACAACATTTTCAAGGTAACAAAACTATGGAGATAGAAAACAAATTAGTGATGGCCAGTGTTTAAGGGTTGGGGGAAGACGATGAGTAGGAATGAAGGGGGTAGCAGAAGAGAGATCTTTGTAGTGATAGAACGGTTTCTTGTCTTGACTGGAGTGGTAGTTACACAAATATACACAAGTGATAAAATGGCATAGAGATATGCCCACAAATGGTGTCAATGTCAATTTCCTGAGTTTGATATTATGTAAAATATAATTGTTGGAGGAAACTGGGTAAACCTCTCTATATCATTTTTGCAACTTCCTGTGAATCCCTAATTAGCTCACAATAAAGGTTTTTTAAGAAAAAGTAATGGGCAAAAAAAATAAAATGGGCATTTTTATTGGATTACATTAAATTTATAATTACCTTGGGGAGAATAATATATTTTGTTGACAGTTACTATCCAATAATAAGGAATGTCTTTAAATTTGTTCAAGGCTATTTTTGTGTCTTTGAGTTTAAAGTTTTCTCATAAAGGCTTCTAAACCTTTCTAGTTAAATTGTTATTTCTAAGTATTTCTCTTTTTGTTTCTGTTCTTAACAGAAGTTTCTTCCTCCACTAACCAATTATTGTATTTGTGAAATCAAGGCTACTAATACCCTGCTACCATACTGACATATTTTGTTTAAGTTAGTCTTATAGGGTTTTCCAAATGTACCATCATATCATCTACAAATAGAAATAGTTTTACTTCTTCATTTCCAACTATCATTCTTCTATTTTCCCTTACCTGAATGCATTAGCTTTCAGTACAATTCATATAAGTCTAAAGGAAAGGAACACACCATGAGTGATTTACCACAGCCCTAAACCCTGGCCTTGAGGATGTGTTATTTTCTCCCTAATTAAGTCATAGTTATACACCCAGGAAGTTTTGAGGCTTACCTGAAATCCCATGGGTAGGTCTCTCAACTTGCATCAAGAGAGAATATGCCCCTTCCTGAGTTCCTGACCCTAATTCTCTAATACAATTCTCTAATAAATTTGTGTATGCAGATACCTATGGGACTTGGTGCAGGAATGATCCTCAGATAAGGGAGGTCACAATGGACAGCAGATGTGGACCTCCTTTTTTCTTTTTTACCATGATCTCCTTCATAGAAGAGCAAGAAAGTATGGTCTCTCCAAAGACAATCCTCTAGAAGTGATTAGCATTACTTCTTACCTAACCTTCCTTTTCTTGGAACATTTTATTCTTTTTTTCTCAGGGCTACCAAGGAATATACAATATAAATTAGGGAAAATCAACAATTAACAAGATGTACATTTAATACACAGGGACCTACTGTGGTCCCAACCCTGGGTATCTTACATAGTAGTTGCATAAGAACAGCTTTTTGATTTTCCTAAAATCCTACCAGAGCTGCCAACTTCAGGGAAGAGATGCATTAACTCATCCTCTCTTTTGTAAAAGTTATATACTTTTGTTTCTCCTCCATCCATCATTCTATGAAGCAGCAGTTGAAACCTGAGCACAGATACCAAGGCATACAAACAGTGCAGGTAGACAAAAGAATAGAATCAGTAGGGGTGCCTGGGTGGCTCAGTTGGTTAAGCAACCACCTTTGGCTCAGGTCATGATCCTGGAGTCCCGGGATGGAGTCCTGGGATCGAGTCCCGCATCGGGCTCCCTGCTCAGCGGGGAGTCTGCTTCTCCCTCTGACCCTCCCCCTCTCATGTGCTCTTTCTCTCTCTCAAATAAATGAATAAAATCTTTTAAAAAAATTAGAAAAAAAAAAGAATAGAATTGGTAGTCCCTGTTATCTGAGCTTTCTTACTATATGCAACATATCAACTGTGTAAACCCGAGTTTCTTCATCTATAAAATGAGCAGAATATCCATTTGAGATTGTTGGGAGGATTAGAGATAAGGTATGTACATATATAAAGTATAGTATACCCTGCTTAAAACCTTCCAAATGTTTTTCACTTAGAGAAAAATCTAAACTCCTTACCATGGTCTGTATGCTCTGGCCCCAGCTTGGCTCTGGGATCTCACCTCCATCTCACACCATCCTCTAGGCACATTGACCTCCTTTATGTTCTTCGGACATAAGCTTGTTCCCACATCTGTGTTTTGTTCTATGTCCAGCATTCTCTAACTCCAGAACTTCACATGATGGCTCTCTCCTGTCATTCAGGTTTCCATGAGGCTTTTTCTGACCACCCAGTCTAAAGGAGCATTCCCCCAGACACTTTCCCTCATCATGTTTTTGTTTTTTTTTTACTTCATATTAGTTAATACTACCTGAATTATCTCGTTCATTTATTTGTGTTTTTACAAGGGCAGGAAATGTGTCTGTCTTGTTTCTCACTCTCTAACAGTGTCACTCCCTTCCTTCCTTCAATCTTCCCAATGCCCAGATCTTTCCATAGCCAACAGGCTACATTTTGGGGTGGGCCCAGACTAATCCAGAATTTAAAATCCTGATTAGGTCTCTTCACAACATGTAACCTGGCTTCACCCTAACTAGAGACAGTGACTCTCTCTTTTTTTTTTTTTTTTTTTTAGTGACACAAAGCTGCTTTTACCCAAGGGAGGGTCTGAACAGTTCAGCGTCCATTTTTGGCCCAGTCACCCACAGGCACTGGTGTTAGACACCTCTTCCAATGGAAAACAGAAATTAGGCTTGCTTAGGGGTATAGTCTGTTACTCTTGGAATAGTTAAATGTGCTTTGAGTGGAGAAGCATAAATAAAGAGACACAGCCAAGGGGAAAGTGTTATATTTAAAACTCCTCCCCTTCATTTTCTTCTTCAAATGAATCAGTCCCCACTTCTTCATAATCCTTCTCCAGAGCAGCCAGGTCCTCCCTGGCCTCAGAAAATTCTCCTTCTTCCATTCCCTCTCCAACATACCAATGCACAAAGGCCCGCTTGGCGTACATGAGGTCAAACTTGTGGTCCAGGCGGGCCCAGGCCTCCGCAATTGCAGTAGTGTTGCTCAGCATGCAAACAGCCCGCTGGACTTTGGCCAGGTCCCCTCCTGGCACCACGGTGGGTGGCTGATAGTTGATGCCCACCTGAGGAACAGAGAAAGAAGAGGAGCAAGAAAAGAAAATGCAGAGCAGCCAAAGGATAACTCAAGATGGGGTTATCTTGGTAACATGGTGTGGTAGCAAGACACAGTCATGGGGTGGGAATGGGAGCAAGCCTAGATGTGAAAAGAAGGAACCAAAAGGTTTGAGAAACAGACAGGTAGAGAGAAGTGAGTGTTGAAGAGAAATTAAAAGTGAGTAGAACTGGGTGCAGGCAAATTCAAGGGAAGGGTTATAAAATCTAAAGACTGCAAAAGACTAGCTGGAATTTAAATAAAAACTTGGAAGAAAAAATAAAAACTGCAAAAGAAAAGGAGGAGAACAGGGATGCCTGGGTGGCTCAGTCAGTTAAGTGTCTGTCTTTGGCTCAGGTCATGACCCCGGGGTCCTGGGATCAGTCCCACGTCAGGCTCCTTGCTCAGTGGGGAGCCTACTTCTCCCTCTGCCTGCCACTCCCCTGCTTATGAGCTCTTTCTCTCTCCCCCCCGACCCCAACAAATAAATAAATAAATAAAATCTTTTAAGAAAAGGAAAGGAGGAGAACAGAGCTGGTAATAGGTAGAAATGTTAGTGGGGGAGATTCAAGTAGACAAATGAGGGTAATGAATGAGATTATTATTAAGGGGGGTGTACACAACATGTTTATCTTGAAAAGGGAAATAGATCTCCTTTATAGGCAAATTAATTTCTAGACTTGAAGTTTACTCTTTTCCACATGGTCATCTAAAGTTTCTTAGTTATACTGTCAACAAATTTAGGGAAATTTCTCTGCCAAGGACAGAGGGCTGTTTAAAGATGAGGGAGGTGGGTGGGGGGATGGGGTAACTGGGTGATGAGAATTAAAGAGAGCACCTGATATGATAAGCATGGGTGTTATATTCAGCTAATGAATCATTGAACATTATATCAAAAACTAATGATGTACTATACCTTGGCTAATAGAATTTAAATTAAAAAAAAAAAGATCATGGAGATAATCTAGAGCAATAAATTTAAAAATCCAAAAGGTCCTGGAGATGGTGTTAGTGTTAACCTGGCCCCATGTCTCAGGGGAGTGAGACTTGTTAGAAGAAAAGCAAGGACTTCAATCAAAGAAAGTTAATTAAAACTCTTGCCTGGACAAGCCAACTTCCCAAGATATGGTAGCATGGCAGGGTCCTCTAAGCTAACCCTAGCCCAATCTGATGTTAGGGGCACTGAGAAATCTCCCTTCTCCCCATACACATATCCCAAACCAAAGCCAATCCCAGAAAACTGGAAGAAGTCGAAGGTAACAAACTGTGATAATATTTATGGGACACTGAGAACCACAGTACTATCCAAAAAATACTCTCCTACCCAGGTCATCATGCCTTATTTGTCAACCTCTTAATTTCATAGCTTTAAAATGCATGTTCTCTTGAGATGTAGGTAGGAGTTACAGCAGGCTATGTAGCCAAGTGTGTAGCCCATTAAATGAATTCACAATCATCTATCATTCCTCTTAGACAAAAGTAGTATCTTGGTGGTGGAGGTGAGGCTGTGACAGGGGCAAAGGACCAAAAATGAGAATGGGGTGGGCAATGAATATAAACTTTGCTGTATCACATATTTTGCTAGATCTGACCCTGACCAGCAAAAAACTTTATCCCTTCAACTGAGTCAAATAGGGACAAACTCCCTTGGGGAGGATGTGAGAGGATGAAGTTGAACAAACATAAGCTTTTTCCAAAAAGCAGCTAAAGATGCTAGCCCTACCCATCTTTCTGGACATAATCTCCAAACTTCAGCTTAAAATAGAAGAGAGAGAATGCAGGGCATCTCCTTTTTGTTAACTTCCCCACCACCCTCACATCTCATTTTTTTCTTTTTTCCTAGTCATTTTCCTACTAGCTTGTTTTGTTGTTTCCATTTTAAAAATTTAGTATGTGTGCTGCTGAAGCGAGTACTCCATTTTAAAAATTTAAAAAGAACTCCATATTTTGGAAGATCTTGATAATTTTCACATGAATGACCAAAACTGATCCATAAAAATAGGTGTAGTCTAGGGGGGAAAGATTGTGTATATAGCTAGGAGTATAGCCGTGAGGGAAAATGCTACAAAAGGAGATCAGCTAGGTCAAAGCCTCATATGCAAATAGGTCAGTCAAGAGACTGGCACATGATGCCTTGTTTTTGTAAGCACCATCAGGGAAAAACAGACATGCTCATCTCTGTATATCTAGCAACTGGTATAACCACCCCTGGTGCTGAGTGAACCTCTGAACTATTAAAGGCATGGCTGGGGGTTACTAATTAATGTAAATGATGGTAATTATTTTGATAATGGAATCTGATTAAAGACCATGGGAAACAAACTGAGGGTTCTAGAGGGGAGGGGGTGGGGGGATGGGTTAGCCTGGTGATGGGTATTAAAGAGGGCACATTCTGCGTGGAGCACTGGGTGTTATGCACAAACAATGAATCATGGAACACTGCATCAAAAACTAATGATGTAATGTATGGTGGTTAACATAACAATAAAAAAATTATTAAAAAAAAAAAAAAGACCATGGGAACACAGGACAAAGTGGTCTAACAGTTCACATGCACAGAGCCAGCTGCATGTCTTGCCAGTGCAACTCAAAGGAGTGACTTCTAACATTCAACATTCACTAGTCCTGAGATCCATGGGTTTTCCCTGGCTATTGTACCTACCCACTAACCCTCAGAATCTGGCATTTTCCAGATTGTGGACACCTGATCTACAACAGGCTTCCTCAGCTTCTTCTTACTCCTGGTTAATGGAAAATGTCAGGGCTTCACAAAACAAGTGACTCATAATCCTATAGTAACCATAAAATTTCTTATCCTCACTCTAGGTTAATTAAGACTTACAGGATGAATATTTAACTTTTCAAAATAAATTGGGAGAGGAACACATCTTTTGTTAAAGGAGGGAATTACATCTCTCTGGTAACTTGAATTAATACGGTTAACTCCATTCTCTGATCTATTGTCAGATTACATCTACCTCCACTCATTCATCCTATTCATCCCACTTGCCTGCATGGGTTCTTTCCAGCCTGTTCAGTCCTCCTTACTAGAGAAAAGCCCTTTTCTTCCTGACCTTTGAGATGCTTGCACATGTTAGGGTTCAGGAGCAGTAAGAGCCTTCTCCCTACCGCAGTATTGCCCCTCTGAGTATTGCAATTGTCCTCCTCCCGCTTCTTTCAATAATCCTTTCAAATAAAGTCTCTCCTTACCTAAAATGAATGAACTAATGAAATTACGGTTATATTTGTCTTAAGCCCTCCTCCCATATCATCCCATGAAGCCTGAAGCTCCCGTGGAATTGTATGTCTAAGACCCTGGAATTTACACATCTTCCTCCCCCATCCCTGGTAATCTCCCTCTGCTTCTCCATTTGTCTCTCTTCTCCCTAAGTCATCAGCTCTCACCTTAAAGCCTGTGGGACACCAATCTACAAACTGAATAGTCCTCTTGGTTTTGATGGCAGCAATAGCAACATTCACATCCTTAGGCACCACGTCCCCCCGGTAGAGCATGCAGCAGGCCATGTACTTCCCATGTCTTGGGTCACACTTCACCATCTGACTGTTGGGCTCAAAGCAGGAGCTGGTTATCTCAGCCACGGAGAGTTGTTCATGATAGGCTTTCTCAGCAGATATAATGGGTGCATAAGTGACCAGTGGGAAGTGGATGCGGGGGTAGGGCACCAGGTTGGTCTGGAACTCAGTGAGGTCCACATTAAGGGCCCCATCAAAGCGGAGAGAGGCAGTGATGGAAGACACAATCTGGCTGATGAGGCGGTTGAGATTGGTATAGGTGGGGCGCTCGATGTCTAGGTTCCTGCGGCAGATGTCATAGATAGCTTCATTATCCACCATAAAAGCACAATCTGAGTGTTCCAGTGTGGTGTGAGTGGTCAGAATGGAGTTGTAGGGCTCCACCACTGCAGTGGAGACCTGAGGGGCTGGGTAGATAGCAAACTCTAGCTTGGACTTCTTGCCATAATCCAGGGAGAGCCGTTCCATCAGCAGAGAAGTGAAGCCAGAGCCAGTGCCCCCACCAAAACTGTGGAAGATCAGAAATCCCTGCAAGCCAGAGCAGGCATCTGTCTGGGGAGAGCAGAGCATGAGAAGAAATGATGAAGACAAGTTTACAAGAATACCCTCATGTCAACAAAGGCAGGCAATCCTCTCTCTCTTCCCCACTCTATTCCTCAACATTTTTATGTAGGTAAAATCAAAACAGCCTTGAAGAAGTAAGATAAAAGGAGTTGGGTTGATCTTGAGAGGACTAGCTAAAATATATAGGGTGGCAAACAGCACAGGTATGTGCCACTAGGCACATGGAAGTTTCCAGCCCAGTGGCTTGGTTGAACCAGGAATAAGAGTTTCAGAACCACAATGATTAATAACTTTGCCCTTTGAGAACCCCAACTCCTTGCCCATTTTCCCTGCCTTGTCATTGGTTTTGTGGGAGCTGCTGAAAGGAGTCTTGAAAGGTGGCTCAGGGTACCAATTTCAGAAATATAAATGGAGTCAGAGAACCTGAGTTTTAGTATCAATTTTGTCATTTCCCAGTTGTAAAAACTTGAGCAAGTTATTGAAACTCTCCAGATTTCTGTTTCTTCCTGACTACAGTAGGGCAATAAAAAATATACTCATCTCTCAAGTTATTGTGATTATCAAATGAGATAGCATGATATGCTGAGCAAGGACTTGATACATAGTAAGTACTCAATGTTACCTCTTATCAGAACTAAAGTAATTCATACAGTCACAAATTTTCCCATTGGGTATGATCTATGATACTGGTTCTGAACTTTAGGGGCCCACACACAGCTTTGAGACAGATAACCCCTATGAGCCCTCCACTAAACAGAAAAAGTGAACATATACAAAAATTTGGCATCCTTAGCTCCCAAGAATTCCTGATCAAGTCCAACCATTTCCATTGTAAAGATCAGGAAATGAAAGCTCAAAGAGATAAAGTGGCCCACCCTACAACTCAGAGCTTTCTAGACAAAACAACCTGATTCAAATTCTAACTCTGCCACTTTCTAGTTGTGTGACCCAGGCTAAATTATTAAGCCACCCTGGCCCTCAATTTCTTCATCTGTATAGTACAGGGAAATGACTTTCTCTTTCTCTGTATCATTATTAAGGGAATTAAGTGAAGGAACGTATCTAATTGACATTTGTAATGGCATTTGTAAGTGCTCAAATGTATCAATAATCTCTTCCTCTTCTCTTCCAAGTTAAATTCTGTGTTAACCTATTCTTCCAACAAGCAAAGAGCTAGCCTTCCTTATACCTGGAATTTCCCCCAGATACTACCATAGAGTATCAATAAGAATTAGTAGGGCATTGGCCTATAGGGTAGTTCATGATGTCCAGGTAGAGGAAGGGGCATCATCACTGTGAATGCTTCTTACAGAACATAAGCAAAAACTCCCAAATCTTAGGAGCTCTATTCTGTAGCCAGGGGTCATGTGCCTCCACTAATTCTGTTCAGGCTTAGGCCTGTTCATTTTAGCCTGACGCATCAATTCCCTACCCTTGTTAATACTTACCAGCTTCCGTATGCGGTCTAGCACCAGGTCGATGCTCTCCTTGCCCACTGTGTAGTGGCCCCGGGCATAGTTGTTAGCTGCATCCTCCTTCCCTGTGATCAACTGCTCTGGATGGAAGAGCTGACGGTAGGTTCCTGCCCGAACTTCATCTACCAAGAGACAGAAACCATCCGGTCTTACTACCTTGTTTCTAGAGGAGATGCGTCCCTCATTAAATATCATATAATACTTTTCTGGGTCTCCATTTCCTCTACCTGTAAAACCTCACTGAGGTAAAACCAGACAACCCTATAATAAATCTGCAAAAGGTTAAGAGAATTCCAGGGTAACATCGGCACTAATAGAACCAGAAGCCTGTGACTCAAATAGGCAAAGAGAAGCTTTCCTGCTCTGCTGGCAGGAACTTTTAAGAACATCAGGTTCACAAAGTTCACCAAACACCAAAGTTGATTGCCCCTCTTTCCTTCCACTTTGGCCCCTCCAGTCTTCCTTTTTATTTTTTTTTCTTTCATGCTGCAAGGCTACCCAAAACTTTAACCCAATTTCACTTGCACTAAAATGTTCTAGGGATACAGTGAAAGATTCCAGGTGATCTGCTCTCCCAGGAATTGTCCCACCCCTAACCTAATATATGTCAGGCACTAGAGATATTTTAGAATGACTTTGAAGCAGAGCTATGCTCCAGATTCTAGAAGAGCAGGAACCCTAGAGAGGGTGGCTATTCAGCTCAACTCCAAGGGTCCACACAAAGTAGATATATGGCAGATCAAGATGTATCAAGGCCCAACTACATGCTCTTTTCTTCAGAGTTCCTCTACGCCCCCACCCAGGGAAATCATCTATTTGCATAGTGCCTGGGAGGGTAATCTGCACATTTTGTATTTGTACAAAGCATCCAAGGGTTGTGTACCTGTTGCCCCTAGAAATTAGTGTTTAGGCATTACAGACATTAGCCCAGATATCTCTGTGAAACTTACCCATCCCTTGCTTGGTGAACCAGGCTTGAAGCTAAGGAAATCCTGATGTTAGGCTGAGGATTGACCCAAGAGTCAGACCCAAGGGAAGTGATGTTGGGGTGGCAGGGAGGGGGACTCAAGGGAAAGGTGAAGCACCAAGAACCCTGTCTCAACACAAATCAGAAGTCTTGTTTTCTAGGATCCCAAAGAGGTTCATTCTAGAACTACAGCAACCTCTGGCTGTAAGAGAATGTGTCTGCTATTATTCCATTTTTTGTAAGATATGCAAGGTTATGCCAGACCCATGAGAAAAGACTGCAATTATTAGAGAATCAGAAACCTGTACTTTGGAAAATTGACTATTTGGAGACCTCTCATAATTCCTAAAATTATTTTTATTTTTTACTGTTAGCATATAGTTAAGAATCTTGACAATTTGGATCTTTCTCAGCAGGTTTAAGGGGTTTAAGTACAGGGTATTTTGTTCGGCATAGGTTACAGCTATAATGGGGGAACAGAGATCTGTGATTCCTATTGTAAGACTCCCCCAGACTGTGGAGATTTCAAGAAACTAACAGAAATAAGTGTGGGGTGGGGTGGGGAGGTTCTAGCTGAGCCACCCCCACCTTCCAATTAGAGATTCTGCTTCCTTAGCTATTATGGACCAAAGGCTCTGCAGCTTCGTGTTGTTTTCTGTGGAAAGGATCCTAGCCCATACTCACCTACCACAGTAGGCTCCAGATCTACCATGACAGCCCGAGGCACATGTTTCCCATTGCCAGTCTCACTGAAAAAGGTGGTGAATGAGTCATCGTCGTTGACCTTGCTGGCCTGGACACTAAAGGTGCCATCCGCCTGGATGCCGTGTTCCAGACAGAAGAGCTCCCAGCAGGCATTGCCAATCTGAACTCCTGCTTGACCCACGTGGACTGATATGCACTCCCGCTGTGAGGAGAGTGCAGAATCAAGGTCAGAGAGTCCTAGGCCTTCGTCATGCCCTCATGCTATATCCTGCACATCTGAGGACTTGTCTCTCCCTGTCATTCAACTCGCAGGATATCCGTCCCTACAACCACACCATATAAAACCAAATGGTGTCTGAGGTGTCGGGTGTCTGGGGGCCACTGCACCTGGACTGAGACTCGGCTCTGAGGCTTGCTCTAAAAGTTGTTTCCCAGGGTTAATCCTTTGTGTCAAGAAAAGGAAAAAGAAGACAGCTATACTGATAAAACAAGGGGCTAATTCCAAACCATGAAATTCCTGTACTGATGAAGGAGGTCAAAGGGTGAACCAAGGATAACAGCAGAAACTGTCCATAAATTCACTACCATACATAGTGGCAGCATTCATATTCATGCCTAAACCCTGACCTTCCTAGACAACAGCCCCTCTCAATCTCTCTCTTTCTCCCTCTCTTTCTCTCTTTCCCTCCCTCCCTTTCCCTCTCTCTCTCTCTCATGCACGCACATGCACACGCACACGCACACGCACACATGCTCACACGCTCAGAATATCATAGAGCAGATAAACACTCATGGAAGGAAACTACTTTGTAAGTAGGTATCATGGGTGTCTTTAGTATTCTGGTTACAAATGTAGGAAGAAGAAAGGATTGTTACATCAGCAAAGGAGAATTGGGAGTGTATAAATTAGGCTCTTCCTGAAGTTGGAAAATCTCTTTGTAGCCACCATAATCTGCTCCTTTGCCTATGTCAGGCCACATATTAAAGCTGACCTTTGAGGGTCCTTACCTCTTTGTTACTCTGGTATGAAGCCACAATTACCTGATTGGTCATAATACTAATAGTTGAGGATGAGAATGAGTGTGTGTGTGTGTGTGTGTGTGTGCACGAGAGAGAAAGAGAGTGTGTGTGTGTAATAACAAAAGCTGGGGTTTTACCAGAAAGCATGGCCGCATCACCTCCATATATCCCACCTGTGAGGAAGCAGTCGCCAGCACACGTGGCTCTGTGCCTGTGATGCCTGCTAGAGCCCAGCTGGGAAGCATGTGCTTCATCCATGGGTTCTATTCTTATCCATGACCTGACCTGGCATTTTCCAGCTAGGTAACCCAAGCCAGAAGAAGAGCCTCCAGAGAATTTGGCTGGGCATTGAAACACACGGAGTCAGAGGGAACTTGGAGGTTCTCTGGGCATGGGAACAGGGCAGCTGCCCCGAATAACACCTCAAAGAGCCAGAGGTGCCAGGACCCATTACTCCCTAATTCAGTTTTAGAACTGAGCACCTACCCTACACCTGTCTCTATGCCCTTGCCCTGGGGAGCATAGGGCACAGGTGTTCACAGCAGCCAGTATGAAAAGTAGCCCTATCTGGGAATACAACCCAGCTATATTTCCATGAGTCTGGTGGCCAAAGAAAGGCTTCACTCACAAAGTTGTCCACACCCCAGGGTTTAAATCTCGCCTTCTCCATTTACTTGCTGTGCTGTGTGACCTTGGCTGAATTAACTAACTTCGCCTCCTATGAAAATAATCAGTTAGCCATGATTATAGTTGTTTTTGCCCTTACCGTTATCATTTTCATTATGATACTATCTTGTAGCTTTATTCTCCACCCAGAAACACAGGTGGAAAGTTAGAGACTCCAGGTCCCCATTCTACTCACCTTTACTGTGAAGTCTATTTTCTGCCTTCACCTTAGGTCTTAATTCAGACTTTAAAAAAGTGTCCTACACCCAGGAACCACCCCACAACCAGCGTGTTATCTATCAGTCCACATCTTTCACATCCAGGCAGCCATGGCTTCCTAAAGAGGTATCTAAAGCTGATGGGACTTTGGAGAGACCTAAAAAAAAAAAAAAAAAAAGTCTGATCCTATGTATCACCTTCTAGGTGACAGCATCTTCCGTGGCCCTGACCCTCAGTCCTTGGAACCTTGTACCCCGCACCAACCACCACCACACCCCAACTATCCTCCAGGCCTATCTCTGGTGCTATTTGTGCTCCAGTCAGCCCTTCCTTCTGGAACACTCTTTTTCAGCAAGAATGCAGGGATATTTCAGAAAGATCAGAGGTCATAGGAGGAAGAGTAAAGGCTCTTTTGCACCAGAAAACTACCAATATGGTGATATTAATGATATCAGCCTCCTTTGATATCCCCTTTAATCTCACACACACTGATAAATATGCCAGTCTTCACAAACTCTCTCTCTCTCTCTCTCACACACACACACATACACACCCCTTAGGAAGAGCTATTTTCCCTGTTAAACTAATTTAGAGTAATTGGAAGTATAAAAGGGGCTCAGAAATAACTGATACGTTCATAGATACTTCCAAAACCCAAAAGTGGCTACACCAATCAAGAGAAAAGGAAGATTCCCTCAATACCATTCCCCACTAACAGGAACCAGGGCTCCTGGGAGAAATGAAGAGTTCTAGGTGTGGGGCAAGGAATATACAAGATGAGCCTGGAACATCTTATGGTGCCTGAAAGCACAGAAGCTAACACAGACTGGGATGATGTCGAAAGATCTCAGAAACCAACTTGAAGAAGCTCCCACTGCCAAAGATGAGACAGTATGAGCATCAAAAAGAAGAAGAATGGTACTTGATTACAACAGGATGTATATAAAAATCCACAACTCCTTAGTGTTATTAAGAATAGAAAACAAAACTCATTTGTCCACAAACAGCACTGTTGATGAGGGAAAGCTCTTTTTTTAAACTGAAGAATGTCAGCTAATAAATGTACAAGAAATGATATATTAAGAAATGTTGCCATATTACAGTTCTTAATTACATAATTGATTTGGTCAAAGATGCCAACACCATTAAGTGAAAGGTTGATGGGAAAAGAAATGGATATTCAAATAGCACCAAAAAAACACTGTTACTTACAGGTTACGAGGGGAAAAGTAACCACAACAGTTACTAGCCAAACACTGGGATCAATCTTAACAGTACTGATAGTGAGAAAACCAGACGTTAAGAACCTCCTTATGTGATGCAACATGACATACACAACACCACCCATGAAGAATTCTTGTACTTAGCCTTGGGATGCCCGGGTGGCTCAGTTGGTCAAGCGTCCAGCTCTTGATTTTGGCTCAGGTCATGATCCCAGGGTTGTGAGACTGAGCCCTGCACCGGGCTCTGCACTGGGCCTGAAGCCTGCCTAGGATTCTCTCTCTCCCTCTCCTTCTGCCCCTCCCCGCCCCACTCTCTCTCTAAAAAAAACAAAAACAAAACAAACAACAAAAAAACTCATCCTTAATCTATTAAACACTTTAAATTTAGTTTCACTCTCTCTCTCTAAAAAAAACAAAAACAAAACAAACAACAAAAAAACTCATCCTTAATCTATTAAACACTTTAAATTTAGTTTCCACATTACAGAAAACACCAGGATCAGAGTGATAAGTGACATATTGAGAAAACAATAAAATAAATCCAGAAGGTGAAACATTCTACAGGGCAACTGATACAATCTTTTTAGTTCATAAAAAATAAAGATAAAAGGAGAGATTGTTCCATATCAAAAGAAACTCCAGAAACAGAAATCCACATGTAGTATGTGCATTTTGCCTGAATTCTGGTTTGAACAAATCAAAATTATTTGGGGTACAAAAAGAGAAATTGATTAATTTTGTTAAGCATGATAATGAAAGTATAGTTAGGTATGACAATATCCTTATTTTTTAGAGTCACTTTTTTTTATTATGTTCAGTTAGCCAACATATAGTACATCATTAGTTTTTGAGGGTCACTTCTAAAGCATTTGGGGCAAAATGCCATGACGTCTGTATTTTACTTTAGAATACTTCAACAAACACAGCAGGTAAAGTAAAAATGTCAGAAAAATAATTATTATTATTAAATCTAGATCATATATGTATGGGTGGCATTATAGTACTATTCCAGATATTTAAATTTTTTCATACTAAAAAGAAAAAAAGTAAAGAAAGGAACTAGAGGAAGAATGGGAGTAAAGATTCCACTCACCATAATTAACCTTATCCTGCAGGGCCCAGGCTCTTCCTGTCCCATTTCACTTAGTCATGTATTCAACTAACAATATTAAGAACTAATTTGTCAGGGCACTGAGCTAGCCTTCTCCAGTCACTGCCGGATCACCATCCCCATCTTCCTCCCTAGAAGTTCTACATAGATAAACACAGAGCAGACCCAGTGCTGATGGCCTTGTGAGGTCACCCCTCATGCCGAAGAGGGGTCATCCATCTGGCATAACCAGGGATGTTATGTCAACTGTAAATGTTTAGGACACTAGAACCAGACTGGCCTCATGGATCACCAAATATGATTCCCTCCCCATTTTACAGATGAAAAATCTGAGGCTCAGAAAGGTAAAGGGACAGATTCAAGATTTCACAGCTCTGCAGCAAGAGCCCAGACTGGAATCCAGGTCTTCTGACCTCAGCCTGAGTTCTTCCCTTTATACAACACAACCTCCAGCCTCACTTGCGCTCTGAACTTCCAGGGCCCTGGGATATGCCCACATCTACATCAATGCAAGCCTGAGAGTGTATATAGCAAGGCCAAGCTTGTATAGCAAAACTCCAAACAGAAAAAAGCTCCAGTGCAGAGAGAAACTGAGAATGGCTTATGGTGGTAGCCTCTTTGAAAATGGGTCATCCTTCTCTGATAGAACCAGGAATCTGTTTCTCACGGCTGGTGTGTACAAGAAGAGGGAGGGGGCCGAAGCATAGAAGCAGCTGACCCAGCAGAGGATATTTAAGTCCTAAATTTGCTCCAAACTCAGATTTCAGATTCCCCTCTCTAGCCAATCAGAGCTCATGTTTTCTCTCTCACGCTACTTCTCTCTCTCAGTTCCACTTTGAATCTGGGCTTGTAGAGCTCAGACCACTTCTGTGCTCCAGGGATGCTGTGAGGTAAAGGGGGTCCTCTGTGTGCTGCTGAACCTCTCTGCCCAGCAATCCAGAAGGTGAAGATGAGGGAGATGGAGAGACCTAATAAAGGAGTTTCCTTTCCTCAAGAAAAGTATGACATATCTTTACAGACCTAGTGCTGGTATAACTACAAGAGTTACCCACTCTGTTCATTCCTACAACAAATAATTATTGTATTATTATGTGTAAGCAGGTATCAAAAGGTACTAGGCTAACTCCTACTCATCCTATTCATTAAATGTCACTTCTTACAGGAAGTCTGGAAAACCACAAACCAGCACAGGGCCCTACTATGTGCTCCCACAATCCTCTTCTTCCCTATCATTGTATTTATCATACCATATTATGGTTGCTTGTTCAATTTTCTGACTTACCGAGCAGAGAGAGTAAGTTCTATGAGGGCAAGGAACTCTTGCTTACTCAGTGCATCCCCAGCATCAAGCACAATGCTTGAATGTAGTGGGTGCTCAATAAATGTAGGGATGATTAGAATGAAAACTCTGCACTGAGGGGTCTTATAATCTATTTAACAAGAGAATAGCCAGTGCCAAAGACACAATGGGAGTTCAAAGGAGAAAAAAAACGACTCTGGCTTGGTTTCCTGGAACAGGAATATTTGCAGCGACCTTGACGAATTTAGACATGCCAAAATGATCATTTTAGGTGAGCTTAGGAGCAATGTGAACAAGAGGCAGGAAAATTTAGGGCAAGTCCCACAAACAGCACAGTTTGCCTGATGTGTAGGCTCATGAAAAGCAGAGCAGATGAGACATCTGTGCCACCTACCTTCATCTTCCATGGGGAGGGGACCCTATGTTTTGCAGAATATCAAAAAAGAAATTCTAGAACCTTACAGTCCTTTTATAATTCCACTATAAGAAACCTTTTCTTATATCAATCTTATATTATTTCTACTTCATATTAGTCATCCCCTTTTGTTTTGCTCTCAGAGGACTAAGATCAGCTAATTAGGACCCTCTGTAGAAGGAGGTTTTGTGGCTTCAAAAATCATTCTGAAGTATTGTAAAACTGGCATATTATCTAGGAAAGGAACTGACACAGACCAGTGGTATATGCCATGTGAAAACCTGAGACCAGTCCACATTCCCTGTGGTCAAATGCCACACAGTTGCTCTCAGGAAGCATATTATTACCAAATTATGTCTAGTTGTCAGGTTGGGCTAATAAATCACCTATATTTTAGGATCTAGGTCAAAGATGGCAAATAAAAAGTAGATCCACAGTGTTATGGAGGAATAACTAAAGTAAGAAGAAATGTGATTCATAAAAGATTGCTTGAATTATCTCTGCTCAAAACCCTTCAATTACAGCATATTTGTAATCACTCAGAACAAAGAAAAGATAGCAAGCCAGAAACAGCAAGAACAAAAACTTGACCTAAATTAAGTGAGTGAAATTAAGTGAGTGAAAGTAGCTCAAGAGAGGGGGCTCAGATTATAGGCACTGCATTTAGGGCAGCAATAGGGATGACATAAGACCACCTTTAGGAATGGCAGGGGTGTGCGGTAAGTAGACTCCCAGCCTAAGAGACCAATTGGTGTCCGAAGGCTTTAGCTGACCTCAGGGGCAAGTGTGAGAGATAGTTAAGGAGTTTTAATCTGGTGCATAACCACCTAGTCTATTTTCCCATTCTTCCACAGTTCATTATGTGGGAGAAATTCTAACAGGAAGACACAGACAGGGGAAATGTCAACAACGGCCACAGATAGTGTTACTGGTCCCTTGGTGGCCAAAGGGAAAAGGAGCAGTTGGTCCACTTCCACCCCCAACGAAGGAGCAGTTGGGTCCACCCACCCCCATCGTGGTCCTGAATTCACCAGTTATTTCCCCCTCAGAAGTTATTTTTAACTTTTCATCTTCCTCTCAAGGTCACTCAGAAGCCCCCTCAGAAAGGAAACTCAGCAACAGCAGTGGCCCTCTAGCTCTGCATGGCCTGACCTGAGCCTGGAAATGAAAACTCCTCCTCATTTAGCCAGCACCTGTGTCCTAGCCACTGCCGAGGGAAGTTCTGGTCATCAGGGCTCCTCTGCTGTTCGGAGGCATGTACCCCCACAACGTCTGGGGAATCTGTCCTTAGTAATGGTAAGGGCAGATGCAGCAGTGACTCCAGAAGTGGTCTGAGGTCAGAAAATAAGTATGGACCCTGCAGAGCTCAGCCACGCCTGCCTACATGGGGGCAGTTGGCAGAGGACTGCAGACACAGAAGCAGTGTCCCTCTCGCCCCCCCAAACACTCTCCCCTCCCCTCTATTTTTTTGAGGAAACAGGCTCTTTGTTGCCACTTCATGCCTATCCCCATCTGAACCAGTGCTCCCTGGTTCAGAAGGAATGCAATTAAGGAGGCTATGCTGCAGGTGTTCTCACCTCCCCATAAACCCAGACACTTTCTCTGTGCCCTGGTATCATTGACATGGGCTTGGCTTGGGACACCTGGCCAGAAGTCTCCATCCCACTTTCTCCAAAGGTGTCCTAGTCTCAGTTCCCAGAAGAACTGCTTACTGGAAGGACACTGGGAGCAGATGGGAATGCTCAGTTATAGGATTAGTTATACATTTCTTACTCAGAACCTACAGAAATGCTAAATCTAATTCTTCTTCACACAGAAGCAGCCTTCTCCCTCCAACTTCAACAAGGGAAGGGAAACATGGAGGATGGCTGCCTGAAACAACCTGTTAAAGTAAAGTTCTTTCTGCAAGGGTAGGATTCTTTGGGTCTTCGTTTATTAGATGTGTCATCCTAGCCTTTCAGGAATGGGTCAAGAGATTTTTAAAAAGAGGTTCTATGAGTAGGAAATGGCCGATAAAAAATATTTTCCCATTAAGACAATGCTGCCCATGTAACTAAATATTTTAAACACAACCTGCTATACAAAATTCAGTTTCAAAATAAATAAAAGAAATTCTCTTTTCAAAATATTCAACCACATTTTCAGTTAAACAGCCACATTTAAAATAAGGTTTTACTGTTTAAAATTTTTATTTACCAGATATTTTCAGAAACTTGCCTATTGAATATATATCAAAGTTTGCTCAGAGGGCTAGATTACCATCATTGACTCCCTTGTAAGCCTCCTTTAGGCTCTACTCTGAGAGTCACTATGGCATTCAGGTCAAAATTAAAACATGCAAGAGAAAACACTTTGAAAATTATAGAGCACTACATTCTAGATATTATAAATATTAAATACCAAATTCTGAGTATGCTGCCTAGGATTTGCTTCAGAATAATAGGAAGTGAGGGAAAGGGGAATAAATGAAGCAAGACTTGTCCTAAGTAGATAATTGTTGAAATTGGATGAGGCATATACTGGGGTTCATTATATCATTCTCTCCCCTTTTGTATATGTTTGAAATTCTCTGCAATAAGAAGTTTAAAATAGTAAAGCTAGGTGGAGCCTTGGAAATTGTAACCATAACCCCTCTTCATTTTGTAGATGAGAAAACCAGTCCAGAGAGGTTAATCGACCTTCTTGAAGCTAGATGCAGAGCCAGGAGTCAAATTCTTCTCTGGGCTTCTTCTATGGCCTCACATCCGGGACCTCGGACAGGAGTGGATTCCTTTGGCCACTATCGCCAATATCCCCCGAGTTCTTCAAGCTCCCAGGTGGGTCTGTGAGCATGCTCCAGAGAAAGAGGCTGCTGGACAGACCTCTAGCTAGAAACAGGGCTGGAGCCAGAGCTAGAGGCCCTGGGCACTTTCCAAACAGAGCAGAGGCTGGGGGAGGAGCAGAGTTTTCTCGCCTACCCTGCTCGGTCACCTGACACCTAGAGCAAGAGTGCCCAGAGAACCTGACCTTGGCTTATGAGACTTGCTTATTCTGTCCCCCTCCTCCACCCAACCCTCCCAACCCACCTCCCTGCTACCAAAATACCAGGGCTCTGAACAAGGAGATTCTGGGTTTTCAGGCGTTCAGGGAAGTGGATCGGGAACAATTTTACCCGCTCCCGGGGGAGAGCGGGGGCGGCGGGGGGATTCTAGAGGGCCTGGAGAGGCCCCCTCCAGCAAGTTAAGATCTGCGACTGCAAAAGGAGATAGATTTCGGGGAGGGAGAAAGGAGCCGCCGCTGAGCCTTAACCATGATAGTAAACAAAAAGAGAAGTCTGAGGTCCCCTTGCCTTCGGGAGGGAGACTTCTGTGTGCCAAAGACCTTCCCATTTCGACCCCTGGAAAAACTGGGGAGTTGGCGTGAGTGCCAGGTGTCTGGGAAGCTGAGAGCGCTCGAGTTTTAAATGCCCCCAAACCCAAGCTAATGTTCAGAGACCAGAAAGGAAAACGACCTCAAGCGTGCGGAGACTGTGACGCCCTAAGTCCTCTGTCACATTCTGGGGCTCTCTCACATTTGATTGGATTTGGGGACCTAACTGCACCCACTCCCCCAGCCGCCGGGGCCAGCTCACTCATCTGGAATCCCTGGACTGTCTCCTACTTACCCCACTCTAGACCCTGAGTTGCCTGTCTGGGGATCCCTCAGAATCTCACCTCTTCGGCGCCGGCTTCCCAAGTCCTCCCTCTCATCACCTGCGTGCGCAAATCTCCCTTAGGTCCCTTTGGGGGGCGATTCGCCTCAGGTCTCTACTTTATGTATATTATAAAGGGTACCGGCACGGGTGTCCTCCGCCCGAGGGTACGGACCTCCTCGACCCTGAACTGACACCCCAAGAGACTTCAAGCTCTGCAGATCCAAAGCGATGGATCCATTAGCCCCCGCGTAGATATGTCTCTCCGCTGAGTGCCAGCCCCGTGCCCCAGAACCGGCCCCCAGCCCCGGGCCCTGGAAAGGCTCACCATCGCGGCTGCTCTCCTCGCCGGCTTGCCTCCCAGCTGGGCCTGCCCACCCTAACTGCTCCAGATACAGCCGCCTCCGCTGTTGTGACACACCGGGCGGGAGGGGGCTGGGGACAGACATGCTGGGCCAGCAGCTGCCCTGCAGCATCACAGTGCCCAGGGAGGGGAGGGACCCGGGCAGGTCACAATTGCTCCTCCCCGCCCACCCCCGGCTCAAATCCCCGGGCAGCCAAGGTGGCCCCACCCCGCCTCTGGGTCCACCCTCAGGCATCTTGGGCGCTGCTGTGCTGGGAATTGCGCGGTTGGGTTCCTAGCGCTTCCGTGGCTCAGTGTGGGAGGCAGTCCTATTTATTAGCAAAACGCACTTGTACACTCTGTGTGATCGGCCATTAGCTGGAAAGCTGCTTAGGAAAGAAATGTAAAAGTGCTGCTAAACAAAATGTTCATCACTGCCCAAACTTTCATTCTCTTCTTGCTGCCAAAAACTAGCCACCTGACTGGGGTTTAGTTGACTGCAGTCACCCTAAACCCAGGAGAGTGCAAGGCTCACTGCTAGGAGCAGGCTTCCAAGCTCAGCTCTGTTTCTTACCTGCCTGTGCTTAAAAGCAAGTTGCTGAGCCTCTGCTCTAGTAACCTGTTTCTACTTCCATCAAAGCCTATGTGGTCACTGGAGAGTTAACTGAGATAACATATATAAAGCCATAAAGCTCCTGGTACACAGCAGGTGCTCAATACTTAAGCTGTTTCTGTTTCTACTGCTCTATCAGTGTACATCACTCCTCCGCCATTATTTTCAAATCTCTTTCTTGATCCATTTATCGTCACTCCCTCTTCCTACTTTTAAGCCCAAAATGTACTAAATGATACAAGGGTTCTGGCTTCCTCTTTGCCCAATAATAGGGCCTCCTCTTGGTAGCCACAATGATGTTGAAGGGCAAGGGATTTCCTCTACTTTCTAGTTTGAGAGGGCTGGGGGCAACTGGATCTGGCCTTGGTAAGAGCCCCTCTTTTTACACTTCAGATGTTGGCAACATTATTAAACCTCCATCCACTTTCCCCAGCAGAGGCCAATCAATCCCCGCTAAAACATGAAACCCAGTCTCACATCCCATGTTTCTCAGGCACCTGACCACCAACCATCGAGTCACTCCAGGCAAATTAATGGCTTTTCTGCATGATGCTACTACACAGAGCTGCTTTGACCAAAGTACTACACTTTACTCACTGATACATACAGTACTTATCAGATTATGAGTTGAATTTTTGTCTGTCTTATAATGTAAGATCCTGAAAATTAAGAATCATGATTAAGCTAACTCCCAAGCATATAACAGTAAATGCTCAATAAAGGATAATGACTATTACTAATTATATATTTCTTTCTCTTCCAAATCCCATAGCATATTCCATTACTTCTTCCATTACATTTATCACTTTCCACTTTGGATTCTAGATATGTGTGGGTGTGCATGTGCTTAAACATTCCTACAAAATTGGAACACCTTAAAGGCAAGGGTTGTCTTGTCCTCACCATCAAAAGTAGCTAGTTGATCCTAGGTATTTACTCAAAGGATACAAAATTACAGATTCAAAGGGGTACATGCACCTCGATGTTTATAGCAACATTATCAACAATAGCCAAACTATGGAGAGAGCCCAAATGTCCATCAACTGAAGAATAAAGAAAATGTGGTGTATATATACAATGGAAAATTACTCAATCATCTAAAAGAATGAAATCTTGCCATTTGCAATGACATGGATGGAGCTAGAGTATATTATGCTGAAATAAGTCAGAGAAAGACAAATATCATATGATCTCACTCATATGTGGAATTTAAGAAACAAAACAGATGAACATATGGGAAGGGGGAAAGGAAAAAAGGGAGAGAGGGAAACAAACCATAGAGACACTTAACAACAGAGAACAAACTGAGGGTAGATGGAGGGAGGCGGGTGGGGCATGGGCTAGACAAGTGATGTGTATTAAAGAGGGCACTTGCTGTGATAAGCACTGGTGTTGTATGTAAGTGATGAATCACTGAATTCTATTCCAGAAATCAATATTGTACTGTATGTTCACTAATTAAAATGTACATTAAAAAAAGACCTGCTATGTGGCCATAGGATTGACAACAGACCCAATATGGCCGTTCATGTATCTGCCACACAGAGGAGCGAGAGCCTCACAAAGTTACAGAGATCAGTAAGGAATAGCAAAGACGAGACTGAGAACAGCTGGGTTTGGATTTCCTGGAAATCCTGGGACAGAGGCCAAGACAGAATCCAGGGAACAAAGTTGAGTGGTTGTTAGATCAACAAGCCCATGATGAGCTGCCCAAGGGTCAGTGTCCATGAGCCAGGCGCGGACACAGCAGAGGCTGAGGGTGGAGAGAGCCGTCTGGGAGATCCGGATCTCTGAAAGCTCATGAGCACTTACCCTTTCAATCAATTTCACTGATATTTATTGAGTACCTACAATGTGTCAGATACTGTCTAGGGTGGGGGATACAGCAATAAATGCATCAGACAAAAAAAAGTAGCTAGTTGAGTGTATCAAAGATGCTCAATAAACATTGTTGAAAAAAATGATTTTTGAGTTCTCTTTGTGAACCAGTAAATATGTTGTGAACAGGTTCTTAATGTCTCATTATGACAATACTAGTGATTATGATGATGTCCTTTGAACTTTGTCATCCTTCCCTTTTATGGGGTTTGGGCTGGAGGGAGCCATGACTACCCCATAAATGCTGGATTGTGCCCCCCCCATTCCTATGTTGAAGCCCTAATCCCCACTCTGACTATTTGGAGACAAGGCCATTAGGGAGGTAATTAATGTTAAATGAAGTCACTAAGAGTGGGGCCCTAATCCAATAGTGTGGTGTCCTTATAGGAGGATGAAGTGACACCAGGAGTGCACATGCACAGAAGAAGGCCATGTGAGGACATGAAAAGGAGGCTGTATATAAGTCAGAAAGAGAGTTCTCACCAAAAACTGACCCTGCTAGACGTTAGTCTTGGATTTCCAGGGTCCAGAGCTGTGAGGAAATTCATTTCTGTTTAAGCTACCCAGAGTGTGATATTTTGTTATGGCAGCTGGAGCAGACTAAGACTGTGGCCTTGAGTCTTTGGAATAAAAAAAACAAACAAAAAAAAATGCTTGTTTCCTTTTAGTTTTTAAGTCCTCTGTCTTAAAATTATTTGACTTGTGGTAACCCAGATCTCACTGATAAATCCCCATCCCACTTCCACTCTATGCCTTTTATCCCTGAGTAGAAGTTTGGAAAGGAGGAAAGACATGTTTTTTCAGTCCCTGTGACGATTATTATGTGTCAAATTTACCGGGTCATAGGATTCCCAGATATTTGGTCAGAAAATTATTATGGGTGTGTCTACAAGGGAATCTCTGAATGAGATTAACATGTGAATCAGTAGACTGAGTAAAGCAGACTGCCCTTGATAATGTGGTGGGTTTCACCCAATCAAATGAAGACTTGAATAGAACAGAAAGCTAAGTAAGAGAGAATGTCTGCCTACCTGACGGCTGGGCCAGGACATTAGTCTCTTGCCCTTGGACTAGAACTATACCATCAGCTCTCCTGGGTCTCCAGCTTGCTGACTGCATATCTTGGGACCTGTCAGCTCACATAATCTTGTGAGCCAATTCCTTAAGTAAATACTTCTCTCTCTCTCTCTCTCTCCCTCTCGATAAAAATGATAACAAAAATACTAGTGATTATATTTATATTTATGAGAAAACAAGTTCCTATTCAGTGTAATTTAGGCCTCATAAAGAAATTACTCCACATCCCAGTTACTACCTATAAGTGTATTTCTTGTATGAATTTTTGGGCTCTGAAGTCACATTCTCAAATATAATCATTATTGTGATAGCCTAAAAAGTTGAGCCACATCAATATGAGTAGGAGGTAAGGTAATTTCTATCAGTCACCCAAGAGAAGAGTTAGTCTTCATGATATTTATATATTTATTATTTATATAATATTTATTTACACTTATGTCTAATATTTGCTGACATTGAGCACTTTCTATGTGCCAAACACTATGCTAAGGACTTACCTCTTTTATTCCTTACCACAAACCTCTGAAATTAAAAATTTTATTATCCCATTTTACAGATGAAGAATCTGACTTAGAAATGTTAATGTCAATCGTGGGGTGCCTGGGTGGCTCAGTCGGTAAAGCATTGGACTTTTGGTTTCAGCTCAGGTCACGATTTCAGGGTCCTGGGATTGAGCCCCGCATTGGGCTCCGTGCTCATCGGGAGTCTGCTTGAGATTCTCTCTCTCTTTCTGCCCCTCCCCCCTCAAATAAATAAATTAATAATAATTAAAAAAAGAAATGTTAACTGAATCCCGATCACAACTGTTAAGAGGTAGAGCTGGGGTTTGTACTCAAGGAGTCTGGTACTAAAGGCTAAGCTCAAATGTTCCATCATTACCTATAAACTGGAATTGGAAGGGCAAACTGCAGGTAGAGAGGACTTCTCCTCATTCTCTTAGCTTAGACTTTGAGAATCCACATATCTAGGTTGATGCTCCCAGGGGTTGTGTATTAAAGATGGAGTTCCCGTGTGGAGGAAGACTGGGAACCCAGAGGAAGAGATATAAAAAAAGATCTGTTAATTTCCAGGCACCTACACTGATGTGAGACTACAAATTCCAGAGAGAAGATTAGATTTTATCATCAGATTATCTAAATTTAGGTATTCACCATATTTACTTAACTTTGGTTATCCTCTAGCCTTAAGTACACCTGCACATACACATTAATAGCCCAAGCTGTTTCTCCTCTGCTGCCTGGTACTAAAAGGATGGGAATCTTTGGCCACAGTAATCACAGATGAAGTGGGTCCCTTTGAGGTCTGCATGGTTGCAGCCACCATAATCATCAAGAGACCATCAAGAAGAAGGTGAATCTCAGGATAAATTTGGAGTCACACAATCCAGCTTACCTTCTCCCGGGCAAGTCTCCTTTCAAAATCAACCTTAAGAGTCAGGGTTGTTTTGTTTTAAGCTGGGGAAGGCAGTATTTTCCTATTGGCCCTGATTCTTCCCCTGCTCACACTTCTCCCAACTGCTTGATGCCAGAAATGGCACCTTTCAGTTCATCATCTCCATAACTTTGGCTTTTAATCCCTGTTAAACTTAGCTCTCCTGGGAGTGGG